GGGGGGGGGGAGGAAGAAACACCCTTCAAATTGTGAAACATCAGCGCAAACCAATAACACATATTCCTGGGAAAGGAGTGAGACAGCAGGCCAGCGGGACGCTGGAGACGGTAATCACTTCAAGGGGCAATTCATCACAGCCTCATGCAGCCACGGAAGAAACGGGGCCTCGGACTGATGCAAGCAAAGGGCAGCGGAATGAAAAGTTCCAGGATGGTTAAATACGAAGGGGAGGACGGGGGGGGGCAGACAGCCGAAACACCGCACCCCTCAGCGCCCCCTACAGCACCGACGCCGCATCATCAGACCGCTCCACTGCAGCCATCTTGCTGCCGGAGGAGCCCCGGCCCAGAGCAGCCCCATGCAGGCCCCCCCTTACCTTGGTGATGAGCACGCGGTAACGCTCCAGCAGCTCTGGGTCGTTCTGGCAGCCGGAGAGGAGCTGCCAGACCTCGGCGCGCAGGGCCTCGGGGATGCCGGTTCGGACGAGGGCGCTCAGGCCCTTGGGGCGCGCCGCCAGGTTGCCGTGCCTGACGGGCACAGGGGACAGTGTCAGTGCGGCGTGACACCGTGAGGGCCAAAACATCACAGACGCGCTACTCCGACATCGACAGTGACGGCATATATTGGGGCAGGTTTACACATCCACAACACAGACCACATCTCCTGACAGGTTCCCAACCAGGATCACATCACAAGATTTTTAATAAAATTTACCTTAAAGAACATACCCCATCAATAATGTATTCTATTATAGTTAAGTTGATTATATCCAGCCCTACTTTTACTATATATTAAGGAATATAGCCTTCATTACACTGCTAAGCATTGCAAAGCTACCAGACTTCAATTTCCATTAAATAACTAAATCCTGAAACTTTATAAATACACTGATCAATGTGCATTTTAATCTATAAATTTAATAAACGTTTGGACTATACTGCTCCCAGTTCTTTAATTAACATGAAACTGCAGGCTTGTCTCCCAAAAACACCGACTGAAAAATTTAAACATAATAATAGAGAATGGTTTCATTCAGTTCCAACCGTAAGTAAATGGAAAGTAATTAGCTGTGAGTCCCCCAGCCCACCCCCCACCCCCCAGGAGGCGCTGGCTGTCTGCATCAGCCGCCTGCTATCACTAGCAGCCACTGACAGGGGCAAATTCTCTCTTTATTGCATTGAGTGAATTTTACTTTAAGTGAAACAAAAAGTCACCGAATGCTGCATGACAGCTATGCTATGAGTAAAGGCCATCTCCCAAGCATCTGCAGCACCGTGCGCGTCCATTACAGCAGTGGCACTCCACGAGGGGACGCAGGAGACGATTCTGCGTGTGGAGATCTGTTTTCATTATGTTTAGGAATCCCGAAAGCGCTTTCGCCGAGTTCTGCCGATCGCCTCTGTGGTCAGGGGTCAGCGCCACCATAGCTAGCAGGCGAAACCCAAGGCCTCGTGCTACATTTCATTCGCATCATGACATTTAATTATTCATCTGTTCGGCCATCTCTGATCTCCCTTTATGATTCTGTACTTTCTAGCAAACAGCCTGGAATCATCCCTGCATAGCCCGAGGGTAACAGCCATTCTGAAGGATGGTGGCGATCAGAATTTTTTCTGGCAGAAATAGTCGCATTTCGTTAGTCTTTATTTGAATAATATTTGATTAACCCTGCCTCACCCCCACCACAGACACAGGAATTTGTATGGGACATGGGTCAAAATATTTATTTCTTTCCATGCAAAATGTGATAATACTCCTTCCTGCCAAAGGATAGTGTAAAATATAAAAAAAGTATTTTGAATAAATTAACTTCAAACTCAGATTAAACGGCGGCACCATCTGAAATCCTAATTAAATTAAACTGAAGAGACAGCTGAAGTACGGCGGTATACAATAAGCTTTAATAGGCTGTGCCTTGGGCAATAGTGACAAATGGTGATTTCTTCATTTTTAACTAAACAATCCTAACAATACTTCTCTGGGTTACAGGCTGCTCCTTTAATGTATTTTCACTCGTTTATTTTCATGACACATCACATGCTGATGCAAAAGGAAACGAACATTAAGAGTGGCCTTGAAACGAGGACTGAGTGATAGTGGAGAAATTCACATTTCAATATTTGAAATCTTTGCGATAAATATTACAATACATAATAAAAAAAAAAAAAAAAGTTGAAAATGTACTTAAAGTAAACTAGACCCAAATAGAACTTGGTATTATCTATTAACAGAGTCTGTGTTTACTGGGAAAGGCAAGTTAGCAGGTCACACTCTGCTAAACAGAAAGTAGCACAATATTCTACTGGTGCACTGACAATTCACTCTTATTAAACATTTGATTAAGAACGAATTTCACAGAATATGAATTTCAAGAACGTTTTTAACCACAACATACCATATACATATAAATGTACATATAAATGTAACAGCAGCAGCATAATCATACTCTCTTACACTTGTTGCCTTGAGTTATGCCAACGGACACAAAGCAGTACCTACAATTCACTTGCTTGTGCATAATGTCATCTACATGGAAGACAAACATCTTCTGATCAGTTCTCGTTTGCTTAACTCGTTTTTGTTACATTTCTCAGTTCACGCAATAAACAGCAAAGGTGAACTTCAGAACGAATAAACAGCAAACTTATTAGAGTGCGGAAAAATCACTACTAATTATACCGGTGTTAAATATTTTAAACAGCTGATTTATTATTTGATTGCAAGATCTTTTTCTTCTTCGGTTTGATACACGTTATCAAACATTTGACATTGCGGACTCAACCTTAGACTTTTCACTCACCATCTGCTGAGGATCCCACCCCAAGATTCCAGGATCTTCTCTGGACAATCCTTGGAAACGTCACCGGTGCCACTAGAGATCTCATTGTCGCTGTCTGTAGGGGAATAGTGGTGGCAGCTAAGATGAGGGACCAAAGCCACCTAAGCGACTGTACAGAATATTCAAGCAATGCAGAAGAAATGCGGAACCTGACACACGTGAGCAAACAGCACGATTTATACCAAGTAGCTAATCACACAAAAAACAATTATACAGGGAAAAGAGTGCATTTGTTAGAAATACTGCTTGTAAACATATTTCTGGGCCGGTATGACAAAGCCGGATTTCTTGCTTAGCTTGAAAACTTGTTGGATTTAAGGTATAACAGTTGAAATGGCCGTTATCTCCATTCACTTACATGTAGCCAAGACTACCTTATATCCGAAAAGTAATCCACTAAGAGAGAAATCCTGCTTTGTGATACAGACCCCTGGTCTGAAAAACCAACACGCTTCACATCATCATCCACAAACTGCAGCTTAGTAGCCACATTTACCCACTGTAACGTGTACAATGTAATTCCTACTTGCCAGCAGGTCAGTATGAAAGGCCCTTTTCTCAGTACAATAGCAGGCAGCATCCCGAGACTTCAAGTCAATAGCCTTAACCATTACTCCACCTGCTGGTCAAAGAATCAAACAGCACCGACACCTTCATATTCCATGGCAAAAAAGCACTTTTACCAAACCGGCAAAATGAATCAGAAACAGGAATCACAAAGAAGGAACAGGAGATCAACTCTTCGACTGTGACACGAATGGAATAAACTTGGAGTAGGCCCTACGACAGCTTGACCTTCAGGTGACCTTGAAGGCTGGACGCTACCCAGACAGACATGCTTCAGCAAACAGACTGAGATTCTGCTATCGGGAGCACAACAGCGAGCCGGCGCCGCATGAGACGGGGATGCTAAGCTCTCACAATGCGAAGCATTCGGGCCCTGATGTCTGGCAGCACCGACCTCCAGCAGGACCATCAATGCTCTTCTGAGGACACTGGGAGACATTTTATTCCTCAGAAAAAGGCTTAGAATGGCTCCCTCATAGCAGCGCACTGGGGGGGGGGGGGGGGGCTGTCTACAGTGATGGCACAATCTGTATGGATTTGGCTGTGGGCGGCCTGTCCGCCCCCCTGTCCCATCTTTCCTTTATTCATCATCTCTCCACTTACAGGAGCGCCATGCTCCAAGAAGAACGGGCGGTCGGAACCACATAAGTAACCTTTTATTTATTATTTACTGCATAACGAACATTACGCGCCAACAGCCCGACCGCTGAGCAGAATGGCCGCATCGTAGCCAACTGAGGGAACGCTATTTACAGTGGAAGGCAGAACCAGCAATGCTCCCGTTATTTACTATAGTTTGTATTACTACCCAACATCACCTCTAAGGGGCGCCTCTGAGACATGATGCAAATGCCTTACAGCCTCATATTGCCATCAAAAACAGGGCACGTCTTACAAAATAAATGTATTACACAAGACTCCTGTGATCCAGGATAAGCAGTTACAAGATGGATAGACAGATAGATGGACATAAACAAATACGCTGAAAATAACTCAGATCGAGATTGAATCAGAATATAATTCTTATGAGAGATTCCCGAAGGAAAGCACAGCCGTCCCTGAGTGTGCGGCGGTCACTGCTTGGCCGGATCGCTGTTATTTTTGTTCCTGTAACAGGAAGGTGACCGGTGCTCTTTGCCCCGCCCCGCCGGCCCCCTTTTTTGGGATTTCGGCCCCTTTTGGGCCTCCATCAAATGAGACGGAATATCATCGGAACCGGAGACCAGATGCACAGGTCAAGGCGCCGGGGAGGATCTGACCCTGAGAGCCGCCAGGACAGACTGTTCAATCTTAATTCCACATGACGGCAAATTAAAAATAACGCTAGAACACAGTCGCGCATTATCAGAATCTGATTTTATCATTTCTACTGTGTAAACATTGCATTCCCTTTGCAAGCCTTCTCCAAAAAAAAATAAAAAATACATAAAAATCTGAGTTTCTGTCAACCGATATTCCGACAGCACCCAGACCTCCAGTCGAAACACACGCTCGGCGTATTTTTCACTCAAACACACTTCCTGCTGATGCATGAAGAGACACACACCACCATAAATCCTTTACGCACGGTGCACGCCGCCTATTAGCTGGAAACATACTGACACGGACTTCACGGTGATGTATGGGGGGGGGCTTATTTCTGGCTACCTTCCATCCAGTCTCTTTTCAGAAACTGCTTATCCAAATAGTCATTTCTGGGGGCATATGGCCCGGGGCTAAGTACACCTTACACGAGACGCTAGCACGACACAGGGCAGCCAAACGTGCAAGATTCACCTACAAAACTGCTTTAATCCAACTGCAGGAAGATCAAAGAGATCTGCCGGCTTCCCTTCTCCGCGGATGTCGACATAAGGCACCGCAATACTGATATTTCGACATTTAGAAACTGTATTTACTACTCTAATGCTGTAACTGACTTGGGGGCTGTCGTTCCAAGACACATCCATCTATGGGAATAAGAATGCTCGTAAAAGGAACCTTCCAGAAATGTGCAAAAGGCTGTTTGTCTACCCTAAAAAGGCATAAATTGTTTTTTTGGTTTTATACCGGGATGCACTGAAAGGTGTTCCATCCTAAAGAAGAAAAGGATGCAGGAAACCTGCAGCAGCACGTGCGTGGCGAGTCCAGCATGCTCTGTGCGGTTTATAACCAGGGGCACGCCGGCCTGGACGGAGCTCGGTGAAAGGGCCGGCGAAGGGCTGTCGCCGCCTCATCTCCATCCTGTGCGGCCAGCTGTCAAAAACAGGCCCTTAAAGACGCTAAAAACGGCAGACATCTCCCCACCCCGAGCAGTGCTCCAAATGCAACAAAATTAAATTTCACGGTTGATTCATGATTGCCAAAATAAGGGGGGAGGGCCAAAATGGGCCAGGACTGATCATCTCATTTTGTAATGTGACACAACATGCCAAAAACGTGTCTAAATATAGAACATTCTCCAAATGAATGAGCAGTCCGGTGTGTGTTCAAATAGGCTCACGCTCAGTGTTTTTTTGTCCCTCCTTTTAAGTTAGACACCTGAAGATATTCCAAGAAAAAGTTCACAACGTGTTCTGTGAAATTACCGTGCCATCACTGCTCCAGTGGATGTCCTCAGATGACATGACATTGTAGAGTAACTGTATTGCAACACGTACAAATAAACAAACGTGCCGTACCTTCCTCCAGCTCCTCTTCCTCGCCAGGGGACAGCAGTCGGTCCCGTGTCCCATTTGCCCTCTCTGTCTCTCTCTGCAGGCTCAACACCTCGAAAATGGCGTCTCCCTGGCTGCCCTTCTGGCTGCTCTGGGGGTGCAAAAAAGTCGGGAGAAAAATCAGGGGAGAGTAAAGGGAGAGTCAGGGGATGAGTTGAGGGAGAGAGAGTCGGGGGGGAGGGGGAAGGGTCAGGGGAGAGGAGTTGAGGGAGAGAGTCAGGGGAGAGGAGTTGAGGGAGAGAGTCAGGGGGGAGTAAAGGGAGAGTCAGGGGAGAGGAGTTGAGGGAGAGAGTCAGGGGGGAGTAAAGGGAGAGTCAGGGGAGAGGAGTTGAGGGAGAGAGTCAGGGGAGAGTCAGGGGAGAGTCATGCATAGCATGACCGCAAATGAAGATGGCATATCTAGATTTGATATATTCATCGCGCTGGGAACATGGGAAATCATGATGCATTTTTACAGATGAATCACCCAAAAATGACTGAGCATTTGACAGTCATACATCGACATGTGGTTTCAGGACATGTCATTTCGTGGTGTTGGGGCGTCAGCCATCTCTGTGCCCTCACGGTTGCCTAAGCCAGAGTTTGCTGCAACCTGCAGCTCCAAACGCAGCAAGCAACGTCTGTCACAGCCTGCGGCTGCTACCAGCGCCAAGATATAAACCGCGCATTTATTAACAGCGATGACAATGATTCGCAAATTCCCCTTGCTTAAAATAAATAAATAAGCATGCAGTAAAAAGCGGGAATGGATGCTGCACTAACACCGTAATGCTATATCTTTTAATTAGCTGTCGACTGGAGCGCGGGCACTCTCTCCCCCTCCATGATGAGATAGCGATGCAGCCAATCAGGCGGCGATGGCGGCCGTGGCCCTCATTAGCCCGGCAGGATAACGAGAGTTGGCCCCTTATTAGCTGCCGATAACACAGAGGCTCCATTTGCCGCATGAAGGGCTCCGGCGGGGGGAAGTTGCGGGCATTTCCACCCCCCACCCAAGGACCTGCCTTCTTTAGCCAGCTGGATAAGTCGAACACCTGAACGAACTTTACATGCGACACATTTGTCGCATGACAAAAGTCGAAAAGCAAGAAACAAAAGGGTCACCCCTGGATGTACTGTAACAGTGCCCCCCCCCCCCCCCCCCCGACATACCTGTCTCAGCTTGAGGTAGAAGGTTTCAGTGAAGGCCTTCCGGCTGAAGTACCAGAACCTCTCGTTGGCCGGGTAGACCCTCACCAGCGTCTCCATCAGGAAACGGACCGGCTCCACCACCTCTGTGACCACGAGGTCCACCGCCACCGTCATGTACACCTGTTTGTCTGTGGGTGGGGGGGTGGAGAAGACTTCAGTTGGGACAGTGCGACTTGGGTGCCCCTCAAAGAGACCGCAAACCACAGAAGGCGATTCAGTCGTTTCTGGGTTACGATTTACAATTAGCTATCTGGTTTAATCCAATCCAATCCAACACACCAGTTCAGTGGAAGGCAGCATTCCACCTTACCGTGTGCACCGCGAACAGCTGACGGTAAAAATAATTACGTTCGTTAAGAGTCTTATAAACAAGTCTAATTATCAAGCTGTGGACAAGAGGAAAACAAACCTATTTCACACCAAGGAGATTTTACTATTTTAATTAACAGGACGAATAAAGAGACAAAAACCTTTCAGGGGAAAGAAAAAAAAAAAACAAGCCTAAAAATAGATTCCAATTACACCGTTAGAGCGGAGCGTGAAATCCTGATTTGGAAGGATGCTGTGGGACACGGTATATCTGTAAGTTTCAGTTACTATGAGGCCACTCATCTTCTGAAGGGTGACAGCAGCTTGGGGACGACCAGAAGGGTTTCAGCAGCATGTCAGCTATTCCCTTCGACCGCTGGAGGGGCATTTTAATATATCAGGGCATTGGCAGAGGTGGGGAAGGACCAAGGGACGATCCCAAAGAAAAGTCCGCGATTACGTTCAGGTGCATCGCAATTAACGGTCACATTCAGGTACGTCGCAATTAACGGTCACATTCAGGTACGTCGCAATTAATTACTGAAAACACTGACAGGCATCGTGAGGGTCTCCTAGCAACACCAAGAGACAGCTCACAAACTGGCCTATTTGCCATATTATTACATATTCAGATACAGCAGAATGCACTGTCAGAGGTAATCATGAGTGCTGAGAGCTGCCGGCTTTCAGAGCGACAGCCCCCAAGCACAAGGTCAGCCCTGGGGGCTCAGGCGTTCCGGTAACACACTGATGCAGCGTGTCTCTGACAGGCGGCCTCACCTTTAGGCGTGTCTTCGTTCAGCACCTGGAACGTGGGGGCGTTTGGACTCCAGGTACCTGTGATCACATAGGCTTTCCCATCCAGGCTCTTCCCCATTGACTCCTGACATTTAGAGACACACAATAAAACGTAAATAAACAGACATGCACAAGGACCGGCACGCAAACACATAAAAAGCCCATATTTTATTTGACCTTGCATTGTTTCACCGTGATAGAAATATACAGCCATTTCATCAGTACGTAACACTGATGTTACATTTTGACACAATACTGAATGTAATATCAAACAGGAATGGTACGATTAACCATGTAATGAATATTTAAATAAAGCCAGATTATCACCTATGTAACAAATACGGCTAGCAATTTAATACTGACACATTAGCACTAATATGGCTAGCTATCTATTACCTGTGTTTGCCAAGTAAGGAAAACAATTTTTGATACAATGCCTAACTAATAATGATTCCTTACTATTATTATAAATTCTACTAAAATACTACTAAAAAGTCACACCTCTATTTAACATCAGCTAGCTAATATAATAGCAGACATCCTTTTAAAGAAAAATGTCAGATCTGAGTAATAAACTAGTTATTTTCAGAAGGATAGCCTGAAAGATAAATATTTTTAAAAGTATTACTCAGCACGATGTATTTTCCAACAAACTATTTCGTAAGAAAAAAATGCAGATTAATGTCTTGCATAAATAGCTCTCTGTGGCAGACATTTAACATCTGCTCAGAAGCAAATGCATAAAAAAAATCTCATCATTATATGCACACATTTTTCCATGTATATCATCACAGCAACGTCACCATCCCAACAGGACAATCTGTAGCCAACATGACAACTTCTGGGCATCTACTGTACTTTCAGATTAACAGGGTGAATCACACAGCTAGCAAAGCAGTACAGAAGTGCTGCCATGTCCACTGTGAGGTGACAGGGGGCGCTGTGTGCACAGGAATGCCTGCCTGCTCATGCAATGTGCCTACAAACAATACAAGCCCTCTGCATTCTTCCCATTCCTCTATGGAAATAAAAGGAATTCTGTCTCTCTGGTTAACAAGTACCTCATATTGCCAAAGTAGAAAAATGCCTTTTATGTGTTATTATAGGGCAAAGGTTCTTCTGCAGATGGCATCAGGCCGGCCATGGGTATCTCTCTGCGACTGGCACCGGCTGGCATTCTATACCCATAATGCAATGCTGCTGTCCACAGGATGACGCGCCGTACCAGCCCTGTGCCAATCGCAGCGCTCTGCATCGCCATCGGGCCACAAAAGCCCCCGCTCAGGGTCTCCCAGGCCTCCTGGCTGTTATGTGAGGTGCCCCCCCCCCATTCAGGCCAGATTTATGAAACGGTCAGGCTTTCAGTGTCCCCTGCGCCTGTCGCTCCAGCCACAGGGGAGCGAATCTGCCCTACGGTGTTGAGGGGGTTCGCCCGGACCTCCCTGACCTCCCTGACCTCCCCCCACGACACACCGACACCCGTCCTTGAGGACGACTTGTTCTGTGCCCGTCCACGGTTGTGGCAAGCGTTCCTTCCCATGACTGATCACTTATATATCGCGTTACAACCTCATCCCAGATCCTGTTTGTAATTCCCTGTGTTCTTAGTGACGAAGTTTATAAACACACTGACCAACTGAGGGACTTCCTAGGGACAAGTGATTTTTTTTTTTCCTGAAACCGTTTTGTATAAACTGACTGGATCCAGAGACCCATGAGATCTACGGAAACCGATTAACTTGATCTTATGCATTATTGCCCAAATCAGAGAGAAGAAACGACAAAAAATATTTTTCACAGCAACTATACATCAAGGTCGTAGCAGACGTGTGATTATTCTGTTTTCGTGATATTTGACCTCTGTGATGCAAACAGACAGACCCAGGTTCCAAAAAGTTGGGATGCTGTGAAATGTAAATAAACACAGAATGCAATGATTAGCGAATCATATAAGCCCGTATTACATTGAGAATAGAACAAAGACAACATATAAATTGTTGAAAATTTAAAATGTATTGTTTTATGTCAAATATAAGTTCGACTTGAATTTGATGCCAGCAACACGTTTTAAAAAAGTTGGGACAGGAGCAAAACAAAACACCTGACTGAATATCACCACTCTGTGAACCATTGTCTTTGAACACAGTTTGTCGCTTCATCCACAAATGCAGGATGAAACTCTACCATGCAAAGAAGAAACCGTATCTAAACAAGATCCAGAAACGCTGCCGACTCCTCTGGGCACAAGCTCATTTAAGATGGACTGAGGCAAAATGGAAAACTGTCCTGTGGTCTGACGAATCGAAATTTCAGATTCTTTTTGGGAATCATGGACGCCACATCCTCCAGGCTAAAGAGGAGAGGGACCATCCAGCTTCTTATCAGCAGACCGTTCAAAAGCCAGCATC